CTTGGCCCCCTCTGGGACTGTTAAGAGGGTGGGAAATCCTATTATGGTAATTGAAAGGTGGAGCCTTGAAGAGGTGATTGGATTGTAGGACCCTGCAGTAGTGAATGGATTAAAAGTGGTGGTCAGGGGCGTGGTTCTAGGGCTTTAAAAGAAGAGGAGAGTCTGTCTCGCGCTCTCTGTCTGCTTCCAGCATCTTGCAATGTGAGACCCCTGGGTCACTGTCGCCACCATCAGATGGACTTTCGACTTCCCAGCCTCAGAAACTGTAAGGAATAAATGTGGTTTTTCTTTACAAATCACCCAGGTCCAGATATTCTGTTATAGCAACAAAATGGACTAATACAGAAGGTGAGTCCAGGCATGAGGTGAGGGTTAGTGGAGGTGGGACCCTGACTAAGAGGAGTCGGAGTGGACGGTCTGTGTGTGCATCTGCTCTGGAAGGAGGGGAGGCCCCTGGACACTGTCGCAGGCAGAGTCTAAGGCACACATGGGGCAGTGGACGTGGCCTCCCTGGGGTTCCTGAGGGCAGAGTTCAGGTGCATCAAGCCCGTACCTCCATCCCAGAGTGGTCAGAGCCTGAGTGAGCATGGAGCGAGTTTAGGGCTCTGCATGTTGGGAGGGACTCATTCCAGAGCCACCTGGTGTCGCCTTGGACACCACGTTTAACCTGACAATTCCCACCCTCCAGTTTCCAGCCAGACTTCAGCCGTGAGCCCAGGCTTGGACAGCTGACTACTCAAATTTCTAGTTTCCAAAATGAACCCATGACTGGCACCCCCATCTCTTGCTCTCCAAAGGGAGCTCCACCATGCCCTGCCCCTCCCTAGAATGCAGTCCGCCCCACACCCAGTCCCCAGCGGCAGCTCCAGCCCACCTGCCTCCTGCCTCCTGCGGGCTGCAGAAGCTGCCCCCCAAGTGCCCCGTCTCACCCGTGTGAGAGCGGCCCAACGCCCTGATAAAAACTGCTCCTCCCAGGCCCCACCCCACCTGGCATGTCCCACCTGCTGCACTTTTAGCTGTACAGGCACCTTTCTGTGCGAGTGCAGGTCTGTGTCTCACACACCAGGGCCCCTGGTGGTCACTCGTGCATACTTACTGCCACCATCTGAACACGTGGCACCCTTCTAGATGCTGCAGATGTTGGAGTGAGCAGGGCTGAAGCCCTACTGGGGCTTAAAACCACAGGGGCTCTAAGAGATCTTAAAAGGACACAGTTGTTTTCTTGGCATGCATTTCTGTGAGTTCCCTCTTTCCCCATGGTTATTTGATATTTTGAACATTGGTTATGGGGCAAAATGACACTATTTACATGAATGTAGCTTTCCAGCCAGCCCGAAGCTGCAGACTTGCACGTACTACCCAGACCCTGAGATGACAGCAAGGACGGGAGCAGAAACCAGACGGGAGCAGAAACCAGACGGGTCTTGACCTCGCACCCGGCTCCTTGCACAAGCCCCCGCGGCTCACGTGCCCTCCGTCCTGCTCTTCATCCCCACGGTCCATCCCCTCGGCCTCCTCTTCACAAACCCCTCAGTGGACCTGAGTCTCTGAGATGCTTTAATCTGGCCGTTGTCCTCCAGGTTTACCGGAGAGGTGGGTCCGCCCAGCATCTCTCCGCAGGTCACCCGTGTTCCTCAATAAAAGCTGGCTTCCATTTTCACCACCATTTGATTTTTGTTTGCTTTTTGTCTAGGGGCAGGCGGCCAGACCTGTGTGCCCAGTAACACAGACACGGCGCGGAGCAAGAGAGACACGTACTCCTGCCCACGTGGGCCGCCCTGCTTTCCCGTGAGAAGTACAGACTAGAGGTCCTCGGCCACAGCGCCATGGCAGTTTGGGCCAGACCATTCTTCGTGGGGCTGTTCTGCACACTGTAGGATGCTTAGCAGCATCCCTGGGCCCTACCCACTGATGCCAGTCTCACCCTCCAGCCCAAATGTGACAGCTCAAATGTCTCCAGATAATGTCAAATATCCCCGAAGGCAAAATTGCTCCCCCCTCCCCTGCCCCTTCCAAGAGAACCACTGGGTACAACAATCAACCAGCATAGTCAGTAAAGAACGGGGAGGGGCTCAGGAGGATGGGCTGGTGCTATGGGCTGAATGTTGGGAAAATATAGGACAATGGTCAGGGCCCCTCAGATGTTCAGAATCTTTCCGAGCATTTGCTGTAAATAGGTTGTGTGTGGGTGGAGTTGGTGCCTCTGCGTGGCGCCGCCACTTTGGCTGGAGTTTAAGGCCTCAGGCAGTCGCCACCATGCAAGCAGCCATGCTTTCCAACCTGCAGCTTCCAAGGACCTGTTTGCCAGGTACGTAGCTCACAGACCTGCATGTGAGGGGTCTGGTGACCTGGCCTGGCATGTGAAGGATTTATGACCCAGTCTGTGAACGGGCTTGAGGCGTCTGTGAGCTCCAGACCCAGCCCTGGCTTGACAAGTGGCCCTGGTGGCAGGATTACTGGCAAGGTAAAGTAGCCCTGCAATTGGTGACGTCAGCAGGATTCCGACAGTAGTTGTAGCCCCACACCCCCAAAACCCCTTTGTTGAAGCTGTGACCCACAGTGAGAAGATGGGGCCTCTAAGGAAGTAACTAAGGTTAAATGAGGTCACAAGGGTGGGGCCCTGATCTGGCAGGATTAGCGTCCTTACAGGAGGGGACACCAGAGAGCTTGCTCTCTGCCTTCTCTCTCCGCAGCACATGAGCTGAGAAAAGGCCTGTGAGGACACAGCAATAAGGTGGCCACATGCGAGCCAGAAAGAGGCCCTCACCTGAAACCGAAGTGGCCAGAACCTTGGTCTTGGACTTCTGGCCTCCAGAACCATGAGAAAATGAGGTACTGTTGTTTAAGCCAACCTCCTGCACCCCCACCCCTGGTCTGCGACATTTTGTTATGGCAGCCCACACGGACTAAGACAGCAGCCAGAGTTTCCCACGCCTGGCAGGAGGCCTGTGGCTGGCGTGGAGGGGGCAGGGGAGGCCAGGAGATAGGTTGGTGACCTTGAGGGCCTCCCAGCCACGTCAGGGCTTGGACTGCCACTAGGAGCAGGGTGGGTGCCTCGGAGGGTCGGGAACAGAGGGGACAGACAATGATTTAACAGTTCCCTCTGTCACAGCGGCAGTATCACAACAGCCAAGAGGTGGAAGCAGCCCAGTGTCCGCGGAGGGTGGGATGGACAAACAAGACGTGGTCTAGCCTTGAAAAGGAAGGAAATGCTGACCCACACGACAACGTGGATGAACCTGGAGGACGTTATGCAAGTCACAGAAGGACAAACGCTGTGGGATTCCACTCATGTGAGGTCCCTAGAGTCGTCCCATTCATAGAGGCAGAAAGTAGAAGGGTGGGTGCTGGGGGCTGGGAAAGGCGAGTCAGTGTGTAATGGGGACAGAGTTCCAGTTGGGAAGATGAAGCGTTCTGGGACAGGTGGTGGTGATGGGCACACAACGGGCGAATCCCCGAGGCCACTGACCTGTGCTGGCAGAAAGCGTTAAAACGATACATTTTACGTAACGCACATTTCACCACGATTTTTTTTAAAGGTCCCTCTGATTGTCTTGTGGAGACTGGACCACAAGGGGGCCGTGGTCAGGTCCACAGTGAGGAGGTGACTGGGGTCCGGGTGAGGGGCAGTGTGGACCAGGGGCTGCGGGCCGGGGCGGACAGGTGCAGGCGACAGGATTGTGGACAAGGCCGCTCCGTCCCGTCTGGGGGCGGGGTGGGGTCACTTTGTCCACGCTGACGTTGAGACGCGTGTCCCCAAGTGGGGAGGCGGCGGCCATGGACGCGGATGGGAGGTGGGAGGGCGCCGGCGCTCGGCGCATCGCAGCC